TTTTCTTTTAGTCACAATTAAGGTGGTTTGAGGCACTTCTGGTTTTGTTTTTGAAAGATATGAATCTTGACACTGCGTGACAGAAGAACACAAACGTGTTTTCTGGCACCAGTTTCTGTAGTTTTGAAAAATAAGTCACTGGCACAGAGATTAGAGGTGAAGAGCGCCTCGTCGATGAGATGGTCAACACACAAACACACACGTTTTCTTTGGTGGTGAGAGGATTCTTGAGTTAGTTATAAGAATGCAGAACAAAAGGAAAATCCAAGTTACTTATTGAATTGATTTCAAGTCGTACTTTTGGAGAGACAGGAACAGCTCTCATACAAAGAAGACAATCCTCGGTGGGTCTGTGCGTTTAACACCACGCTGCACAGGAAGTGGTGAATTGAGATCAAAGTAGTCCCAGCAGCGAGTGAGCACCACCTTTAAAAAAACAAAAACTGTGTACGCAGCACAAGTGGGTGAACTCCTGCATCATGTATCTGCAGACTGTGAGCGCTCCTATACAGATTGTCAACCTGTTTATTGAAAACATCACCTTTTGAAGTTTTATAATGTGATGTGTTGACTCATGCAGCGAAAACATCTGAGGATCAAAACCAAAATCCTTTTTTTTGTCAGCCATGTAAGTGACTAAACCAAACATGGCTTTTCTTTTATACTACACAAAAACAAATTCATGGTGTTCCGATTCTTAATTTGGCAATTAATAAACAGAAGTAGGATGTCTTTACTACCTTATACATTTGTGTTGTATTGCTTGTTTGTCTTGTTCTCAAATGCAATTCCATCTGACATTCAAAAACCATAAAAATGTCTTTTTGAAATCTCTGCATGTATTGTTTGTATTTCTAACCTGACTGTATTTCCCTCTTCCTCTTTCAGTACACCATTTGGAATTTTGTCCCCAAGAATCTCTTTGAGCAGTTCAGGAGAATAGCCAACTTCTATTTTATCATTATCTTCCTTGTACAGGTAAAACACTCACAAATGCATAAAACGCTAACTTTTCTTTATCGCGGGAAAACTGTACATGTTCTGTTCCGTCAGATGTTCTCGGGTCAAGAGTGTCCTCAGTTTTCTTGCCCTAAATACAAATGTCCGTGTCCTCAATACAAACGTCTGTTTGAGCCTGAGTTTCTGACTCATGGACTTCCAGGGCCCAGCAGAGAGACAGGTCTTCATCTGTATTAACACATTACGCCCACACATTAAATAATATGTGTGACTTTACAAGCCGTCCAGAGGCGTCTGGGCTTCATATTGCATCAGTCAGCTCGTGGTGAAGGAGGATTTGGCTTTCAAATTTTCAGGCTTCTTCTCCTTATTTATTTGGGCCTGGGTAACAAAGCCAAAGAAATTGACTTGACTCTGTCTAAAGCTCTTTTTCACCCACTCAGCTTGTCAGTGACGCAGAAGTCGGCTCAGGCTCAAACCACTTTTTATCTTGACATTATGAACGTGATGTTTTCTTCGATTGTCGCTTTGTAAGTGGCCTAGATGGATTCCTAGATAACTGCTGTGAACTGTTGAACCCCTCCAACCAACCAAGTAAAGAAATGATGTTACTCTTAGTTAGTTATTGATCAGTGTGGCCCAATAAATTCATTGTGTGTTTCCTCGAGGATTTTTTCTCATAAAACATTTGTAAGACAGATTTTTTTCAAATTTGAAACGTTCATTGTTTACATCCACTTTTACTTTCTATTGGTGTTCTGCTTCCCCACTGCCTGTTGATCTGTGGAATAGTGTGAAACAATTGGAACGAATGTGAATTTTGATAACCACAGAATAAGTTCAATACCTCAACAGGTTTCTCTTTTCATTTACTCCTCTGCCCTCGTAGCTTGACACAGACTTAATCTCTTTGTTAGAAGTTAAAAGTAAATTCCCGGGAACGAGATGCATTTTCAGCCAATAGCTACACTCATGGTTTATAATCAACCCACTGTTAAAACATTATCGCTGTGCTTCTTTAAACTATCGTCACGTCCGCAGAAACATTTTTATATAGGCCAGGCTGAGGGACACAATGAGCTCAGTGACACTCTATAGCCACAGACATCGTGAGGTTTGAATCAGGGCTGTCGTGTCATATCCCCTCTGACTCTCCGCTCATTTCCTGCCTCTCTATATTATCAGCTCTTCAATAAAGACAAAAATGCCATCGGAACCTTTGAGCATATCTTTTTAAACGAGTGAGTGAATTAAAAGTACAATGGAAACATTTGTAGAGAGGAATGCGTTGGCTTTTATTTTTGTATCACTGCAGTTTGAGGAATAAACGTGTGAAAACCACAAAGTTTGACTCCATGTTAACGAACAGCTCATCACTGATTCACGCGACGTTAAGAAAGCTGAGGCGTGTCTGGTCCAGTAAATGTGTGTGTGTATTTCTGAAGTGACAGTTAACCTTTGAGGGAAGTTATGTAGATTTCCTGTTTGAAGCCTCAGCTGCTACTTCTCTGTTGACTTTTTAAGAGTCTTGTCATCTCTCTGAATGGGACACACCCATTCTCATGGAGACTGTGGTATCATTCTTTTCTCTTTTTTTTTTTTTTTTTTCCGCTGCACTTCCAGTTTGTTGACATCTCTGCAACCCCTTCCCTGTATTTGTCTTTGCAGTTGATGATAGATACTCCAACTTCCCCAGTCACCAGTGGGCTGCCTCTTTTCTTTGTGATCACAGTAACGGCCATAAAACAGGTGAGAGCACAAGCACACGGGGGCTTCCTCTTTCTATCTTTATTCTGATGAAAAGATGGAACTTAAGATGAATGCAGTATGATGTCCAAGTTTTTTTCCACCTGAGTTTGATATTGACTTCAAATTATAAACTTAGACCAAACTGTTAAGAGTGACAAAAGTCTACAGTTGATCAGTGACGTATTGTCCGTGTGTCACCGCTGTTCAGCAATAATGCAATATTCCACTGCGAAGTCCGTTAGCTGCTGTGTTTGGTTGGTCACTGACTGAATGTTCTCGAAGGGCTATGAGGACTGGCTGAGACACAAGGCGGACAACGAGGTGAATGGTGCTCCAGTGTTTGTGGTTCGCAGTGGAAGTCTGGTCCAAACAAGATCTAAAAACATCAGGGTAAGATGCTAAAACCTGGGCCACGCCTCACAGCCAACAGTCAGAACAGGTTTTGTAGAACTAGACTTTATGTTGAAATGAACAGAGCAGTTCTTTATGTGGATATCAACAACAACAACCAGCACTAATGTATGGAATGCTGGTGAACAACAATTCTTAATATAACCTCTGCTCTCACTGATGAAACTCTGCCTCAGTGGCATGTGTCCCTTTAGTCAAAGGTCAAAGATTTTATTTGATAGAAATATACAAAGTTGTGCAGAATAACTAGGTGTCACTATAAATTTGAAAATTGAATATTTAGCACAAAGTTACAAAATTGAAATTGCTCATTTGTCTCAAGTCTTTTTAATAGTGTTGTTTAACTCAGCGAGGATGAAGTAGAATGCATGGAAAATCTAAAATGCAAACGCGGAGGAGACGTTCCTGTAGGCAGACGTATTATGTAACATGATTTTGTGCTGTTTTTAAATACCTGCTTCATAGTTTGAAGGCATGTTGGGGAAAAGTATATAACGCCTTAATTGTAATACTTGATTGTATCATGTGTGTGAGCGTGAGTGTGTTATTCTGCCCGTCCGTCCAGGTCGGGGACATTGTTCGTGTGGCGAAAGATGAAACGTTTCCCGCTGACCTGGTGCTGCTGTCGTCGGATCGTGCAGACGGCACCTGTCACATCACCACAGCCAGCCTGGATGGAGAGACCAACCTCAAGGTCTGTGTGTTTGAGCGCGTTACCTCTGGGAGCGTACGTGACGATACGATCTGTGCTGAGAAAACTTTGAAGAATTGTTAACGCTACAATCCTTCACAAGCCTGTGGAGTTATTAAATAATAATAAGATTCAGTAAAACAAGTTGTAGGTTGTGTAGCTTTGTGTAGTGAGGCACTGCAGCAGGGGGAGTTTTAGGAATCTACTTAACAGTGATAGCTGCAGTGATGCAGACTGATGCTGCTGAAACTAATTGAGCCTCATATTGAAGATCTAAGCTAAAAGAGCCTAATTGAGACTCACAGTTTGCATATATTGAGAACTAGTCCGGTCAGAAGATGGAGTTTCGTTGGCAGACTTCCGTCAGCAGAAATGATTTCAGTGCTCAAATATCTTCTCTCCTCTTCACTCTCTTCTTTACCTCCCAGTCTTGCCAGAGGCTGTGTAGCTTATTTTTTTATCTCTAACAGTTTCCTGCTGCGTCTGTTACAGTTTATTTGTACAAATTAAGGTGGTTGGTTTTTTGATCTACTAATGTGTTTGTACAGGATATGCAGCTTTTTGAGATACTCATATATCTCTACCTCATCCCCACTGCAGCTGTTTGTATTCTGTGTAATGCAGTCATACTGCAGTTGTACCTTCCCTTTGGGAGTCAGGCTGCCAAAATACTGCAGTTTCAGTATCATTGGATCACATAGCTTTAGATATCTGTTCTAGAAAGTGGTTGTAGACTTTTAGAGAGCTAACAACTCTACTAATACTTTCTACCTATTAAACATTGCTAGGTCAGTAAGATACATTGGTTAAAGCTGGGATGATGATTGATGAACCCGTCTTCAAGCCTCGATTGTGAATCAATCCTCCAGACACCAAGGGAAAACTCTGGCATATCTATTTGTTCATGAGATTGTTTTTAGGAATTCATTTGTATGAAAAACATCTCCTCTAAACTGAACAAGTAAAACAAGTGTTTATCAAGTGTTTTTCAAAGTACATGGGAATAAAATTACACAAAACAAGAACAAAAATAAGAAAGATAACATTTATCTAACAGGTAAAGTGCCTCCAAGTTTAATCTCCTCAGGCAAGAAGTTGTTGAGTCTTCAGGCCCTGATGGCAAAAGCCGGTAGTGAATTACCAGCAAGTGTTGTTTGTAAGATCTTAAATTACGGCTTGGAGCGTAGGAACTGAGTGGCTCTGTAATATAACTGGGGGCCAGACCGTGCTGAGCTTCAAAAACAATTCAAGGATTATATTTAAAGAATCTTTGTCAACATTTCACTGTGTTGTGTTTGTGTGTCTGTAGACCCACTACTCTGTGGCAGAGACAGCAGTGTGCCAGTCAGTGTCCCGGCTGGAGTCTCTGCAGGCCGTGGTGGAGTGTCAACAGCCAGAAGCTGACCTGTACAGGTAACTCGCCCCTGCGTGTAGCCACACCCTCACACTGAGAACCAAAGCACTCCCCGCTAAACCAATATTGCAACATTGGACTTTTAGATTCTGCTGTAGGTAGATTTTACTGTGTTTAATCATTTATTCATCTGTGGCAGGAGATGGAAGAGATGGAAAGGAACATCAGCATATGCTGTAATGCATCCTTGTCTTCAAAATAAAATCCAGATGAATCTGAAAGTATTAGCTCCTTTAACATTATTTACTTTTTGTTAACATGGATTCAGTCTCACGGTTACAGAAAAGCTGCTCACCACAGAGCTTGTTCTCTGTTCTGTCGGTCCGCACGCTCAGTAAAGCTGCAGAGACATTAATCTAATGCCTGTCACAATCTGAATAAAGGGGAGCAATGGGATTTCTGACCAGCTGTGTGTGTGTGTGTGAGAGTGTGTGAGAGTTATTGCCTCTCTTGATCAACTGAAATTTCTTCGGTCTTTTCCAGGTTTGTTGGTCGGATTACGGTGACTCAGCAGGGGGAGGAGATTGTCAGGTGAGATTTATATCCATCTGGTTTAACTAATAATCACACAACTCATGCACTGTTTTTTATCAAGGTCCTACGGTGTCTTGTCGGTACCACAGTCATTTAATCACATATGTCTTTGTCTGTATTTATATATTTGTCTCTTTGATTTTATGTCAGACCTCTTGGTCCGGAGAATTTGCTGCTGCGAGGGGCCAGGTTGAAAAATACCAAAGAGATTTTTGGTGAGTCAGTACAATGAGAAGCACAATAAATGATTCTCTGAACTGAAACCTTCAACTGAGAAGGAAGCAGCTACAGAGCTAATCTGTTTGTTGCAATGGGAAGATTCAATATAGCTGTTCAAGAAAGAATTGCTTCTGGATATTCAAGGCCAAGCTCCGTGGACATTACGGGAAGGGCAGGCTGCTCATTATCATATGGCTGAAGTCAGATTTTGTTAACTGTGCTCAGAGACTGAATATTAAAAGGGTTTGACTCTAATGTGCAATAATGTATTCTGTTGTAATTGCTTGGCTTGGAAAACTAGAGCCAATGACCTGCCGGAGACACGTGGAGAATTTTGATATCTTGTGCACACGATCAATAAACGAAGGTCTCACAAACCAACTGTGCTGCAGGTGTGGCCGTTTACACAGGGATGGAGTCCAAGATGGCCCTGAACTATAAGTGCAAGTCCCAGAAGCGCTCTGCAGTGGAGAAGTAAGCACTTTTCTCATGCTTCCGAATATACTTCATCAAACATTTAGCTAATTGTAATTTCCTGTGTCAGGTCCATGAATACCTTCCTGATCATCTACCTGGGCATCCTGCTGTTCGAGGCGGTCCTCAGCACCATCCTGAAGTATGCCTGGCAGGCCGAGGACAAGTGGGACGAGCCCTTCTACAACCAAAAGACTGAACAAGAGAGAAACAGCAGTCCGGTTAGTCCGCTCAGAAATAAGCAGCAGCTCAACATTTTCTTATTGATTAGTTTCTTGTAAGAACTGCAGCTATCAGCGGCAGAGAGTGAGATATTCAACATTATCCTCTTTACTCTTTCTGTCGCCTGCGGATATACTTAAATGAAGTTAGTGAAGATATGAAGATGTACGTGTATACACACAATCTGAGGTTGGGGTTTCAGTGTGGTAGCCCATCAGCCTGCCTGCCAACACCAGTCAGTCAGCTTCCTCTATGTATTGAGACAGAGAGACAAGAAGAATCTAAGTTGTAAACTGGACATCTTGCTCCCCGAAGACAGAGCCGTAAAACAATGGCTGTGTTTTTTAGATTTGATAATATCACACTGGCCCCATTACAGTCTAAACCTTTTACCGATGACTTTATCTCTTGTTAACATTACTTATGCATAACTGGTGATACTGTGATACTCTGCCTGCTTCCATTTAAAAGGATTCGAGCTGACACACCAGTATTGTGTGTGTGTGTGTGTGTGGGAAACAGATGTGCATTAAGCATATTTATTTTGCTTACAGTTGAAGACAGCACACCCTGTTCACATATGTTAAGTTTGTGCTTTATGCTCCTCTTGTGTGTCATTCTAATAAAAGTGTGATTCTCTCCTGCCTCCTTTAGATCTTGAAGTTCATCTCGGACTTCTTGGCATTTCTGGTCCTCTACAACTTCATCATCCCCATCTCACTCTACGTCACCGTGGAGATGCAGAAGTTCCTGGGCTCCTTTTTCATTTGCTGGGATTTGGACCTTTACCACGAGGAAAGCGACCAGAAAGCTCAGGTCAACACCTCCGACCTCAACGAGGAGCTGGGGCAGGTACGGGAAAAAGTACACACACACACAAACACATACACACAGCAAAAACAACAGATATGATTAATCGATAAATCCGGCGTTTGTTTAATATTTACAATTCAGATTTAATGTGACAGAACAAGTGGAAACATCTCGGCCTCTCCTTCAGTCAGACCTAACCTACATGTGCACTATTGTGTGTTTCTGTCTTTCAGGTGGAATATGTTTTCACTGATAAGACGGGAACGCTAACAGAAAACGAGATGCAGTTCCGCGAGTGTTCAATTAATGGAACAAAGTACCGGGAGGTTAATGGCAAATTGGTTCCAGAGGGAATGAGTGACGATTCACCAGACAGTTCTATACCTCAGCTGGTAACTCTCATACATACGCACATTACACGCATTTTCTTTTGGCAGACACACAAACACAAAACACACACACTTACATCAAACAAGCTCACTCATAGTTTTTTTCTTTCACTGTTTATATACTCAGTAATATATATAATTAGACTAATACACTTGTGTAGCTAAGACGTAGAACTGCGAGAGGTCTTCAATAACAATTTATGTTTCTTCCTCATCATTCCGTCTTCTCTCCTTACAGATCGGGGAGGAATTGTTATTTCTCAAGGCGGTGTCATTGTGTCACACAGTTCAGATCAGCTACGACCAACCCGACTGCCTGGTTGGAGGAGACCCGTTCTCCCACGCAAACGGTTTCTCTTCTAATCACATGGAATACTATGCCTCTTCACCAGACGAGAAAGCTTTAGTCGAGGCAGCGAAGAGGTGAGGCTACATGAGAGACTTCTCTTCTGTTGTGAATATCACACACGTTAAAATCTGGTTAGAACCTAGAAATATGGAAATAGTGAGGTTAAAGTCTACATGCTGCTCCACCTCTCCTGGCTGTGAGCTGCTCAGGGACTTTGAAATATTTGTGGAGGTCGGACGGCTGGCTTATTTTATTGCTCTAGAAATCAAGCACAGGCAGCAACTTGATGTCAAGGGGCTGGTTGAAAAACAAGAGATTCTACCATACCCCTGCAAAAAGAGTGGTTGTAAAAGAAAAAATGAAAAACTCCTCCAGCTCTTCAGAGAAACCGTGGAGAATCGATGATTATGAAATGTGGCTGCGTAGGACCCAGCTAAATTATCAGACCGATGTGTCAAGATCTTAACGGTGCGTCGAGTCACTAATTCTTGTCAATGCAGTTTTCGAACCATTAAATAAAATTATGTTGAGCAGTTAGGGACTGCACCCCCCCCCCGCGGCTCCACGCTCCACTGAATCACAGTGTCTGATGATATAAAGTTAAAGGCGACACAGTTGGAGCACCGAGCTCAATAATCAGTGGTAGATAGATACAACATGGAACAAGATCAGATATAAATACGTGCTGGGCTGGCACCGTCACATTACAACAAGAAGGTCCGGGATTTTATTACCTTGTTTGGAGTCTCGGTTTTCTATTGGTTCACCTGAGTTTTATTAGGATTTACCACCTTTTTCCTTCAGTATGAGCACATGACATGAAACTGAGAGAGATTGATAAGAGGATGATTTAATGACCTGAGGGAGGGCTGTGGATGAAAGTTACAGTTTTGAGTTTTTTTTAAAGGCTCGTATTTCTGATAACTTCAAGGTCAAAGTCTTCGTTCTCCGCAGAATTTTAATCAATAACTTCTGTCCTCTTTTTTCTCAGGATCGGAGTGGCCTTCAGTGGCAGCAGCGGAGACACGTTGGAAATCAAAACATTTGGCAAGTCAGAGAAGTACGTGTCACCCTCAAAATCACAAATACTCAAAATATTCTTGTTGGCTGTGAAGTGAAGCTTATTCTCTTGTGAACATTAGTTCATATGTCTAAAAGTTACGCTTCTTGTGTTCACTAATTTAAGTACTTGACTGTTTAGCCAGTGGCCAATATTCTCATTTAATGCTTACATTCAATATTGGGCCTATGCTCATGCAACTAAAACCTCTAGACTGTAGACTGGATACCTGCCTGTCCGGAAGACCTGTCAGTTCAAAAATGCTGTCTTTGTTCACTCAGGTACAAACTGCTCCATGTACTAGAGTTTGATGCCGACCGCAGGAGGATGAGCGTCATACTCCAGACTCCCTCAGGTAACACCATGTTCTACCTCTCTGCACTGATGGTAAATGGTAAATCTAATGCATTCAAAGGGCAACAGCAAAAACAGTTTGAACGTATTATATATGAATTTTAACATGTTGAATGTCTTGACTCATAAGGAGGTCAAGTGCTGTTTACCAAGGGAGCGGAGTCCGCCATCTTGCCCTTCAGCACCGGGGGTGAGATCGAGAAGACGAGACTGCACGTGGATGAGTTTGCACTGGTGAGGAATCATTTGTTTTACAAAAAAAAAAAAATGGAAATGCAGTTCTTGTGTCTGAGAATCTTTTCCAGGAACTTAACTTGCGTTCATCATTGGATTACAAATATCTGCTCAGTGGTTGTTGTTCAGCAAAGAATTCAAAATCTATTACATTTTAGATTGAACATCATGAAATCAGTAACAAACATCTTTAAACATGACTTTCTGTGAATGTGCAGATTGATTAAACTCTGTTTACCCAACAGTCAGAGAATGTGTTCTGAAAATGTTTGAATATTATGATGAATAATTCAAACATTTGCTGAAGCACACGTTCTTTTGTGCGTCTTCATGTGTAGGCCTGACATTTGACAGCATTGTAGTAATTACTTTTGGCTCTGTCGTTCTCTGTTCCCATTAGACTGTAAATTCTTCACCACAACAGCCACACACACACACACTCACACACAAACACGCGTATCTGGCCCCCACATCATGTAATCGGACGTCAGTACCCAGGAGTCGGTGCTCTGGACTGGGTTGATTTGTGGTCGTCTACCCCTCAGGCTGGTTCCATGATTTAAAACCAAGCTTTGATAATTTGTTTTTCTGTTATTTCTCTTTCTGCTTCGATTCGTATTCCTTTCCCGTATCCTCTTGACCTACCGCTGCTTTCCACATAAACTTTATTTTATCTTTGAAGGTCATTATATCTTTTCCTGCATGCTCTCTCATATCTCTTGTTTTTTCTTCCCCCATCCCTCACCCACCTCCTCCAACCGCAGAAAGGTTTGCGGACCCTGGTGGTCGCATGTCGTCACTTCAGCCCAGAGGAGTACATCGATGTGGACAGGCGACTGAACAGTGCCCGCACTGCGCTGCAGCAGAGGGAGGAGAGACTTCAGGAGGCCTTCAGCTACATCGAGAGAGACCTGCAGCTCCTGGGAGCAACAGGGGTGGAGGACAAGTATGAACATTTAAAGGATAAATTGCACTATTATGATATTATTGTTGCCCCTGGATACTTGATTTCTTTCACAACTCGTGTTCCAGCACAAAAGAAAAACACTTGACAACTTATACACACACATATATATATATAATATATCTTAGGACAGATTCAGGTTTGCTGTATCCCCTACTTTGAGTCTTTATGCTAAGCTAATCACCTGATGGCTATTAGTGTTATCGATCACACAGTCTCAAGAAATTGAATAAACCATCAAACTGCTCCATTAAAGTAAAAGCCCATTATAATGTACGTGATTTACTTTGACGTGAGAGCCACTTCAACTGCTCAACACACAGTGTGATGTAAAGTTATGTCATATATATGTTTTTACATCATGTGTTGGCAGTTAGGAAATATCACATGGGTAAAGCAGAAGGTTTAGTTTCACATGGTTAGAAAAATAGTTTTTTTATATTATGTCCTTGAAGCTCCTTTTAGCCACATTATTACTGTTTTTAATAGTTTGACTAGAAAAAGTAGGGCATTATGAAACAGTAGAAAATAAACTGGCAGGAACAGACAGCTCAACAGTGGGAGAGAGAATCTAACTGTGGAACAACGTACAGGCTGCAGGGAGATGGGGACGCCACCTCACTGAGCCTCTCTGGAAATGAATGTTGATATGTGTTTGCATCCGCTCACCATCTGCTCCTCACATAAGCCTCTCGCTTCTCCCACTCCATTTATATCTCTCTCCCCCCCCCACACCCACCCTCTCTCGCTTTCTCCCTCCCTCTCTCTCGCTCCTCTCTGCTGTTCTGTTTTGGTATCTGGGATGAATTCCTCCTCAGGCACATGTGGTCACAATCACAGGATCTCATCTGTTACAGAAGACAACTCCAGGAATTCCTTCTTTTTTCTTTTTAAGTCCATAAAAAACCTCATAGTCGTGGTAATATTATATTGTATTCATTATTGGCCGATAATCGAAATCAGCCAGGCTCTAATAGATGCTGTAAATAAAAGAGACATCAGAAAAATAGTGCGTGGATGCCTCGATCCTTTAGTTTGATCTTTTGCTGTATGAGAAGTCTGTTAACTATTCGTCTCACCATATTTGTTTGTTTATTTGTTGCTTGGTTTCTTCAAAACCTGTTTGTCCGTACTCAGACTTAACCTTTCCAATAAAAGAAGCTTTAGGGAAAATACCTCCTACATTCATCTAATTGGTCTTATTGAATTACCAGCACTCTAGTTTACTAACAAGCCTCCAGGGTTTGACCACATTTAGCGCTAAGCAACAAAAACACCAGCTCTGAATGTCAGTCTCATCTAGCTACACCACCTCAGCCACAGTATGTACAAAACCTTCAGGCTGACATCACCTGAGAGTTGACCTGATTTCATAAAGGAGTCACGTGAATGTTTGTGTGTACAATAAATCAAACATGCACCTGAAGATTATTCCTTCTCCTCCTCGTGTCCCTCAGACTCCAAGACAAAGTCCAGGAGACCATTGAGGCTTTGCGGCTGGCAGGGATCAAAGTATGGGTGCTGACGGGGGACAAGCACGAAACAGCGGTCAGCGTCAGCCTGTCCTGTGGTCACTTTCACCGGACCATGAACATCCTGGAGCTTCTGCAGCAGCGCTCAGACAACGAGTGTGCCGAGCAGCTCCGCAGACTGGCCAGGAGGTGAGCGTGTGATTCTCCTTTTGAAACAGATTCTTTTAAGATGCATCTTGAAGCCTCGTCTTCTCATGACTTTAAATATGTCTGTGTGTCATTGAATTACTTTATATTCTGTCTGTTCTCAGGATAAAGGAGGACCATGTCATACAGCACGGGCTGGTCGTGGATGGAGCCAGTCTCTCTTTAGCATTGAGGGAGCACGAGAAGCTCTTCATGGAAGTGTGTAAAAACTGTTCGGCTGTGTTGTGCTGCCGCATGGCCCCGCTGCAGAAAGCAAAGGTACCGGTGCTTTGCCTCTCACACCTCTCACCTCAACAAAACTTAAATCATATTTCGAACAATATTCTGACATGAACTAGAACACAAACTGTCATTGTCATCAAAGTTTCAATCCTTGCTCTGATTCATTAACTGTATCCAGGTGGTACGTCTTTTAAAAACATCTCCAGAGAAACCCATCACCTTAGCTATTGGGGATGGAGCCAATGATGTCAGTATGATACAGGAAGCCCACGTGGGCATAGGTAACAACTCCACACACACACACACACACACACGGCTGTATTTGTATACTCCTCTTTCCTCTCTAACGTGTGTTACTCTGTGTCTCCTCCAGGTATCATGGGGAAGGAGGGTCGTCAGGCCGTGAGAAACAGTGACTATGCAATTGCCAGGTTTAGGTTCCTGGCGAAACTCCTGCTGGTCCACGGTCACTTCTACTACATTCGAATAGCTACGCTTGTACAGTACTTTTTCTACAAGGTTAGTGAATGACTGAGGTGGTCATTAGGTTTAGAATTTTAAATACATACCTAGACTTGAACAGCAGCAGATACTGATGCAAATACCAGTAAACCAGCATATTCTCATTTACAGAAATGGTCTTTTAAATGGGCCTTTATCAAGATTGTGTTCAGTCACGTCTCCTTCACTGAAACTCGTATAACGTTTCTTTCTTTCTCTCTCTTTTCTAGAATGTGTGTTTTATTACACCCCAGTTTTTATACCAGTTCTTCTGCTTGTTTTCACAACAAGTAAGTATCTTTATGTCTTTCGTTTTATCTCAAGCCCAAGTTTAATCTCTGAATTCTCTCAAGATCATTATAATATTAATTACAGAGCTTTAGAGCTTTGGAGTGAATGTTTGTTAAATGTTTAATCAAACGTGAATTGGCAGCGAGTCTGTTATTAAGTCTTAAGTCTGTTGTTAAGGTTATTAGTTTGGTCCAAGACAAGAAATATATCAATCCTGAGAAATTATACTAAGACTACTAACGATACTAACCCTTAGACACAGAGCTACAGAGGGAAGCCTGACCACATTACAACCTGTCATTTGATAAATGAACTGTATTTGTATAATGCTTTTCTTTTCTTTATTGACCATTCAAAGCTCTTCAGACTCTGAGCAACATTCACACACACATTCATGCAGCACCTGTGTATAGTGTGTTCATTCACCCACTAGATCGGATCACAAGGAACGAACCACCAACCTTCTGCCACACTACATCAATAATATATCTCATACAGAAAGTATATTGCCACCAGTGTTTCTTATTTGAATAATACATCTGACTCTTCAACATCTGCCCACAGTGTTTGGCTGGATGAGCCGTGGATTTAGTTAATGCGGTTGTGTTGAGTGACATGTTGTCTTGTCACCCCAGACTCTGTACGACAGCGTTTATCTGACACTCTACAACATCTGCTTCACCTCGCTGCCCATTCTGGTGTACAGTCTGTTTGAGCAGCTGGTCCATCCACACGTCCTGCAGACTAAACCCGCTCTGTACAGGTGAGCCTGTCGATCGATGGTTTGTGGGAAGCAGCTTCAGCGAAGGAGGCTGAGAGAGATTTCATGCAACATTTAATGAATCAAGGAGTTTGAGTTTGTTGCCCATGTCCATAGTATTTAGTCTCCTTGTAATGAAATGTTTTTTTCTGAATCATTCTGCAAATGATCACAATAATTAACTGACCATCATCGTAGTAAAGCGTTACAGTGAACTTGTCCTCTGTCCTCTGTCTGTGTCCTACAGGGACATCAGCAAAAACGCTCTCCTGTCTTTTCGGACATTCCTGTACTGGACCTTGTTGGGCTTCTGTCACGCCTTTGTCTTCTTCTTTGGATCGTACATACTGATGGGAGAAGATACCACGCTTATGGGCAATGGACAGGTGTGTGTGTGTGTCTGTGTGTGTCTGTGCGTGAGAAGATGTACTGCATGAATTTTATTCTGTAGGAATCCCTGCTGAGATGATCTTTTCAAACCCATATGAGGAAGATGTTGCTTAAGGGCAAACGTGACAGGCAGTAAAGAAATGCAAGATAACTGTTTGTGTGCATGTTATGATGAATTATTGATGGAACTTGTTGCCTGCTGGTTTCTCCACAGTTACTTACTCTCTCCTCCCTCATTCTGTCTCTGTATTTAACAGCCTTTTAAATAGAGCATGTTTCTCACTCACTTGTTAATAAGCAATTTCTTGTAATTTGACCTTTTCTTCTCATCATATCTTCTGTGTCTCTGGTTCTTCTCTTTTCTTTCCCACTGCATATCTTGTATGAAGCACTCATATTGCTCTCTCTCTCTCTCTTTCTCTCTCTCTTGCTCGTTTTCCCCCTCTATCTTTTGTTGATTACTCTTTTTTTCCTTCTGCCTTCACGCTGTGCATGTCTTCAGATCTTGCGAGCTAACAGGCAGTTGGTAAGAGTCTGCTCTACAGCTGACTGCATGTCTCTTTGGGGGTTAAATGAGAACATCAGGAAGATTCCTCTTCTTATGTTTTATACAAATACAGAAGTTTTCATATTTGAATCATTGAGATGAGGAGTTTTTAAACACCGATCCCTGATTGTTCTGGTTATTACGAAAACTTCTGATCACTCCATCGTCTCTTAAAGTTTATTGTGACTTCACGTCCACTTACACTTGAAAAACATTTTCATTAAGGCCTGAACGTCTCAGATGTTTGGGGCCCGATGCATTATGACAAAGAAATGTAACTGAGGCTTGATATTTTAAAGTTTATCCATAACTTCAACACAAATAACTGAAGAAAAAGAACTTGAGTAAAGACAATAAACACATTTTACCTAAAATGTCAGTAAATATTAGAAAACATGGCTCAAAGTCAATCCGTTCATTTGTCAGGCTCAAGAATATAATCGAGTTTCTGTTCATTTTCCATAGATTCTAACAAGTCCTACACATTCACACATACATCAATCATTACCTGTACAAATGTTTGTGTATTCTCATCATATGTGCAATTATATATTCTGGATTTATCTCACGGGCCGATAGCTGCAGAGATAATCTGCTTCCCACCCTGTTGTATCAACCAACCAACATATTTATGACTTTTTTAGAAAAACCACGGCCAGAACATGTGTTTGAAATATAAAAAACTGCATCAGGTGAAAGTTTGTTTCAGCAGCGATGATGGTTCAACGATTAACAGATTGATGAATTAACTACAGCGTGAACACATATTCCATTAAAGGGCCCAGAAGTTGTCTCAGAGTTTCTCTCTGTTAGTCACTCACATTACTCACCATTAGTTTTCAGAGCTCCGACTCCAGCAGGGTCTTGAAATTGGATAACAACAAAAACAAAGCCCCCCCCTCCAGCTCTTAAACACCAAGTAGAGTGATTCTCATATGAAGCGGAGCCTCCAGTGGCAGTGACGCAGTGGGAGGGCAGGGCGTCGTTAAAGGCACCGTTGTACCACACATCTTGTTAACTGAGGCTGTTGTCTTGTAGAAGTTGTGTCTCTTTAATCCACATCTGGAAGTTGATGCTCATCACTGTTATTTGGTTTCAAATAGAATCAGGATCAAGTATATTTTCAATTTGTTGTGACGTATTCACACGTCCATCAGGCAAACGAGTGACAACAAATAAAAAATATAACAATTAGAAAACAATGGAATTAAAACACACAAGTTAATTAAAAGGCCAATGAAAATGGATTATTAAAATCACATTATAATCACAATTATTTAAATATCATAATTATAAAGTATTATTAATTTTTGGTATCCATCGTTAATTGTGTTGAAATCAAAGTCAAATATCTTATTTGTTTATGAGTTATATTATTACACTGGCACTAATGTGCACATTCAGAAGTTATGTGATGTTACCATATCATTATATTGCCACTACTTGGGTAATGGTCATGTGTGTGTGTATGTCAACGTGGACACTATTTCACAGTTGTATGTTTGTTTCACAGATGTTCGGTAACTGGACATTTGGAACGCTGGTCTTCACGGTCATGGTCATCACCGTCACGTTAAAGGTGAGTTCAATCTCGTCAACAGCAGAGCCTGTTCTTGTATTTATTCTTTTGCTGACATCATTCAGTGCTCACATGGACGTGTCGATCGTTCAAACTGATGTTGAAGTCTATGGAGTTGCACTGTATGTGGTGCCAGTATGAATTACAGTATGTTGTGATGTCGGTGACCATTAATGGGAGAACATGAGTTGTCCCAGGTTGAGGTCAAGGTCTCTTTTACAGCTCTGAGGCAGATATACAGTTTCTCGGTGTCTTACGTCGCTCTCTGTCTGTCTGTGTGTGTGTGTCTGTGTGTGTTTGATGACAGCTTGCTATAGAGACTCATTTCTGGACGTGGATGAACCATTTTGTGACCTGGGGTTCGATTGCCTTCTACTTCATCTTCTCTCTCTTCTACGGAGGCATCATCTGGTAACAACAGCTTCTTCTGCTTCAAAATGATTTTGAACTCCTGTCACTGAAGCTTTGTTAGAATCATGATTATTAAGTAATTATTAAGAGTCAGCTCACAGACTAGCGGGAGCCGTCCTGATAGAAATGGACCATAATTAATATTTGTGGTCCTTAATATGTGATGTCACTGAGCTGGTCCTGTCTGCCCACCCTTACTGTGGATTGAAACCACCTTAATCAGACCTGATGCTAACTTTAGCCAGAATGTTATCGTCACTTCCAGACAGACCAACGTGTAGCCGCTCCCCTCGGCTGCCCAAGGTAACCACTCTTTCTCTCCCCCCGCCCCCTCCAGGCCGTTCCTCCACACCCAGGACATGTACTTTGTATTCGTGCAGCTGCTCTCCAGCGGTTCCGCCTGGTTCGCCATCATCATCATTGTCATCACTTGCCTCTTCCCTGACGTGGTGAAGAAGGTGTTTTACAGACACCTGAAGCCCACCAGCACGCAGAAGAGTCAGGTAACACAGGGATTAATGGGGGAAAGTAAAGAGAAGCACTCAGAGCCAGTAATTCTTCTTAAAAGGATTTTTCTTTCTTTGGTTTAAAAAAAAAAAAAAAAGGAAAAGGATCTTCTTTCAAATTGGCTGAGATTTTATAAGATTTGTCTTTCCCCCTTCTGGCCAGACTCCAAGAAGTCCCTCTTTTATTCACATTGTGAATAAGTGAGTCGGATCCACTCACAGACCTACATATATCTGCATTTAGGGCGATTGTGACTGTAGCCGAGATTAAATCCTTTTTATGGAGGTGAATTCATGGAACACGTGATGTTTCTATAGGTCTGGGTTTCCTGTTAGATCTGCAGGCCCAGAAGTAAATGTCAAGAATGTCCGAAACACAGTCCATTATTGAAACTGTCTTCTCCTGTGCACAGTGTTAGATCGAATACTTATTCCTACTTGCATCACAATAATTGAACTAATATTTCATGTGAGACAATAAAAGCCTGGAGGGAGAAAACAAAGTAAAATGTCAAGGTAGCTCGACTTCTCGACAGAGAAAGAAAATGTTCTGACTCATATCGGAGAAACAGCTCATTATTTTCTCAGCTTCTGTTGTCACGAGTAATCCACTTCTTTACGCAAACAGCATGGTTCCTCACGCACGCCACATGACTCAACTCTGCACGGACACAGTTTGCACGGTCACCTTTCAGCCGAGCCACGCTGTCATTGAACTGATTTATCCAGCTGGAGACTATTCGTGTCTTAGCTTATACTTTCCTCTTTTCAAAACTCCTCTTGTTTCGCAGAAAGCAAATGTGGTGTTTGTTGTTTTTGCTCTAAACTTTGTCCAGTTTTGTCTTTGTGTGTGTTTGTGTGTGTGTGATTCTAAGAGTGGGGTCAGAATGAACTGTGTGTGTGTG